CAAATTAGTAGCATTTTTATGAAGATTATTAGGTCAATATAACTCTATAAGATGTCGAAGAACATTCAAAATTGGAATAGTCCAATAAAATAAGAACACATCCTAAACTTGGGAACACGTAGGAATCTTAAACCTTCAATGATATTCCATCAAAATTGTCATAAATTTAGCTTCTGGCTGGCTAAGACCCTTCTAAAAAGCTCTGGAACTGCTTGCGAATTACTAAGAGGCTAGGGCTACAGAAATATAATTTTCCATTTAGTTTTTTCGATGGACCTTTCGACGCACGCATTCGCTACGCAACGCACATAGCGAGCCCTTTCATTGTGTCATCAGATTACGAGCTCCAAAGGCCGAGAAAGCGACCGCGTGTGCGCTGCTTATCGCGGCGACGCTGCCACCATTGCCTAGAGTCCATATCCAAAAAGCCCATAGATATGCATTTCCCGGTTCCTTTAACCGGGAAGTTGATTATGTAAGGTAACCCGAATCTTTTAAGAAATCTTCTAACCATTATCAAAAGCTTTTCCACTGTTTGTTTAATTAAGTATATTTTATTAATCACCACGTTGAGAAACCGGGGTGTATTGTGACTGTGGCTCAAAAAATAATAATGATGAAATGATAAGGAGAATGGTATTCATTGTCGTGATTCGAGGAGAGAAGAGAAGAATAGATATAGGGAAATACGACGATATAAAAGACGACATCAACCACGAATAGATCAGGGCTTTCAACATAAAATTTGTATATTTAAGGAAAATTGGGGATTTTACTAGCGTAATCGGTTTGTCAGGTTTAAAGTTAGAGCTGGCCTAGCTTAGGCTTAGCTTAGCTTTAGCCTGGGTTTGGCTTAGGCTTAGCTTAGGCTTAGCTTAGGCTTAGCTTAGGCTTAGCTTAGGCTTAGCTTAGGCTTAGCTTAGGCTTAGCTTAGGCTTAGCTTAGGCTTAGCTTAGGCTTAGCTTAGGCTTAGCTTAGGCTTAGCTTAGGCTTAGCTTAGGCTTAGCTTAGGCTTAGCCTAGCTTAGGCTTAGCTTAGGCTAGCTTAGGCTTAGCTTAGGCTTAGCTTAGGCTTAGCTTAGCCAGCTTAGGCTTAGCTTAGGCAGCTGGAGGCTTAGCTTAGGGCTTAGCTTAGGCTTAGCAGGCCTAGCTTAGCTTGGCTTAGGCTTAGCTTAGGTTTCAATGTTCCTTTAAAACCCTTCAATCCTAACCAAACCATTCTGCTGGGCAAAACCGATTACAGTACACCTACGGATCCACATGATCCGCATGCAAATGATTGTCTATGGAATAGAGAAGGGAAAATGCAATTTTCGTGATGGATTCCGGATTTCAGCCTTATTTTATTTTTCCGTTAAACTTAAATACCTAATTTTCGTATTAAAATTGCAGAATCCATCAAAAAACCATACGCCGAGCTTCACAACAACGATCCAAAACATATCGGGAAATAACGACAGTAAATGCATATGGGCACATGACAGCAATCCGAGTACGTTAAGAGTACTTCCTCGGAACTTTGGAAATACGGTTCGAAAAGTGCAAAATAGGAAAGAATAGATGGTGGAGACTGGCAGACAACCAAGTAGGAGTTTGTAAAGGGACTGGCAAGGCATGGATATGGATTTTTGGCGCTTGGACTGTTCTTGGAGAAACGCAAGCCAAGGCTAAGTTTGAGCCTAAGCTAAGCCGAAGCTAAGACCAAACCAAGCCTGGCCCTAAGCTAACTTAGCCGAAAATCCATAGCCATGTCTTGCCCGTCCCTTTAAAGCGGAAGGTTTTTGGCCGATTTTTCTAACTATTTTTGTGTATAGATGGCACCGGTAATGTGGACAGAGACAGGTATGATAATACTGATAAATAGACACAAAACAAAATTTTCGGAACATTCAAATTCCGGACAGGAAGTTGAAAGGAATAGCGCTTTGTCCGGGTGAGGACTAGGAGGATAGTTGACATATACATTTTCGGGTGGACAGGAAGGTGCAATTCATAGAATTTTTTGTTTCCAAGGACTTGGGAGGCAAATATATAACTAAAATAAAAACCTGGAAAAGCGTCAAATTTTACAAAATAGCATCATTTTGAATTTTTAGATTTTCTAAATTATGGGTCTTGTTTTTCTGTCGATCCTTGCCTTCCCGGTGCTTTTAAAGCCCCGAGTTTTAGCTTTTCAGATCGTTCAGCGCATTTTAAAGGGCCTGGCAAGACAAATATATAACTGAATAGCGAAATATTTCGCTATAATAAGCGAAGGCAAAATAAGCAAAATGATGGCAAAACAGTCAACATTTTTAAAAAATTTGAAAATGTTTTTTAGATCTAATTTCAAATTGGCCATAAATTATTGCCGTCCAAGTTCCTTTAAACCAAGATTCCCGCTTCTAAATGCGCCTATCGCATCAAAATCAGCGGCTCATCATCGACAGTGTTGGCAAAATGCGGGTTGACGAAGGAGAATTCGCCGAATTCATCTCCTCGAATGTTGCCCAAAACGGCCATATCGGACGGCGTCAACCTGACCGGCAACCGCAGGAAGGAGTGGTCGAAGTTTTCGGTGGATTGGCCCGATTTCTGAAAGATGCCGAGACAATGCACATTCCGCTGCTGGGTGGAAGGGGAAAGGGTCGATTCCAGGGCATGAAAGGGGGCATGCTTTAGGCTGGCGGGGGTGTCGGGATACTGTGGAATCGGGGTCCAGCGGAATTTTAGCACATCCTTCAGTGTCACACTTTTTTGATGTCTTTTTAGATAATTCTTGAACGCAGACTTGCAAATTTAATTTAAATAGATTAAGACTTAAATGCCCAAACAGCTAAGTTTATAAATTAATTACCATTTTCGTAAGACTCTTTCCGCGCATCAGAATGTCACTAAAGGCAGGCAAAGGCAAAATCTGGTGCTACAAGGTCTGGACTCTCCAAGATGTCTTGCGCGCCGCGGTACGCAACGCGCTCAAACGCGCTCTCACGGATTACGACCGCTCGCAGGTGGCAAAGCGGCGAGTGCGTCGCGTGTCGCGGGCGCGGCAAAGTCCGTAGAAATCCATAACCTAAAATGCGCGCGTTGCCGTCCTGGTACCATTAAAGAAATTTGGCCTCTAGGTATCTGATACCTTTAAAGAGCCAAGAGGTATTACGGAGAAATAAGGTAGCAAGGTATCGTGATTCTCCCATCAATGTGAGATGCACCAATTCTACGCCTTTCACGCATTAATGATACTAGATTTTCGCCAAAATATCCGATTCCACAGTACCCAGATGCCCACCGCTTTTTTAGGCGTCTTTTCGTACCCTACAGGTTTTTGCTAAACATTTATCTAACTTTCCATAATATTTGGGACGCGCATCAGATTGCCACATGCCGACGACAAAACATTTAGACAGAGCTCCTTTCGAAGCCATAATTCCGGAAAGATTTCAAGGGATGGTGCCCGCAAGGGTGCGGCGGGAAAGGGGAAGTGATTTTGGAGAAAAATGTTATTAAATTCAGAGGGTTATTTTATGCGAATTGTTAGGGTCCTTGTTAAAAAAGTCCGCAAAATGTGATTTACCACTTTGGGCTTGAAGGGCGGTTGGACTTGACGGGCCTCGATCTTGAACCAGTCTATCCGCCGGAAGAAGGCGTGTTCCTGAAAAAGTACTGATAGTCTTTGATCGCTGAAAATACATTATTGTGAATATTATGGGAAGTGAACGCGTCACGTGCACGTTGCGTAGCTAATCTCACGCCTCACAGTTAGGGCCAAAGTTGAAACTTTTGAGTTTTTAACAAGTCGTTAAAATCATAACAAAATCATGATCCTACTTGAATATCCCTATTCCCGTTCGAACCACATCCCAGCCGCTTGACCGGGTTCTTCTGCAAGAATCCCTTGCAAATCGAGACCGACTCCTTGGAAAGAGCCTTCGGATACGAGACGTTGTGCTCAGTGATTGCTTAAAATGTACTTTATTGTTCGACTATTAAATTTCAGGCCTTTACAGTTTCGATAAAGTAATTTTATCTTTTGCAAGTTTGCAACTGACCTGTGAATAGTTCATCTTCGTCCTCGCCGTCAAATGGCGGTTGTCCGGCCAGCATCTCGAAGAGCAGGACACCATACGCCCACCAATCGACCGATTTCCCGTAGGGTTGGTAGAGGATGATCTGCATAGATTGAGTATACATTTTTGACGAGTTTGTTTTTTACTTCTGTTTTTGAACAGTATCTTATTTTCCGCGTCAAAAGTTGCTTACCTCAGGCGCAATGTAATCTGGAGTACCGCAGAAGGTCTTTGTCGTCGCGTCACCGGTAATTCCTTCTTTGCACATACCAAAGTCGGTGATCTAAAATGCACGAAATAAAGCTGAAGAACCAAGTTAAAATTACCGAAAAATTTACCTGTATAATCATGATGTGTTCAATAATAATTGCAAGAATCGGCTTCCAAGGTATGAGTAAAGTGATACTCACCTTAATATGTCCATCCCGTTCCAACATGACGTTGTCGAGCTTCAAATCTCGGTAAATGATCCCCTTGGAGTGGAGGAAGAAGAGGCCGACGGCAATTTCGGCGGCGTAGAAACTAAAAATAACCTTTAAGTTGCCTTCTCTTTTTACTTACCATGCAACCGGCTCCTTGAATTTGCCGACCTGCTGGATTTGATACATCAAATCGCCGCCGTTGACGAACTCCATCACGAAGTAGAGGCGATCCTGAATCGATTGGATGGTTCCCCCTCTCTGTCGCACTCTTTCTCACTCTCTCGCTCTCGCTTTCTCTCTACCCACCATAGTCTGGAAGCAAGAGTGAAGAGCGACGAGGAATGGCGGCTTGTCCGGCAAGGCCAACACCCTCTTTTCAGTCATTGTACATTCGATGTCGTCGTCCTAGAATGTAAATTTGCAACTAAAGTATCCAGATAACCCAGGAAACGTCCGGTCAGTCACCCACCTGAATAATCACATCCTTCTTCAAGATTTTGATAGCAAACAGTTCCCGAGACGTCTTGTGTTCGCCAAGTAGCACCTGAAATTGGATGTATTTTGTAATTTTTGTTTAAAGGGAACGCAACTTTTAACTTGGCTAGAGGATTTCTTCGAGTTTGAATTAAAAAAATATCCTCGGGCATTTTTCAATGGCTCAAAAAGTGACACCATTTCTCCCCTCCTCTGACTAGATTTAAAAAGATTGGTTATCCTAAGCCAAGAACATTTTTACGTGATTTTAGAGTTTTACTGGTTTAGGGATGTCGCGTAACTGTCGAGAGCTAGCGGATCGCTGGGGACGATTCTGAGGCTTTTAAGCTTCTTTAACGGTTCTCATTTTTTGGCCATGGATTGTATATGGAAAATACCCGGACGTGAGCGAATTAGGTTTAATGGATTACGCTATGAAAGCACGACGGTGCACGTTGCGCGTTGCTCGTGAGGAAAAATGGATATATGGATCTTCAGAACCGTAAATATCAACTATTTCAGCGTGAGGAACGATCCACTCACCTTTCCAAAAGATCCTTCCCCAACACGGTAATAAAGTTGAAATCGGCCGCCTTGATGACGTCGCTCTTCAGGGTTGGAGACTTTGTCATATCCCTCGGCTTCGGCGGCGTCTTTTCTCGGTTTGACTAAAAAAATCACTACGTCTAAGATAAACAGAAATCTATCGATGGCCATCTAGTACAGTCCAACTACCATTTCTGAAAGCCAGCGAACCAACAGAAAAAAATAAATATTGAGAAATTCGTGAAAAAAACAGGGATTAGCGGAAATCGGGAAGATTTGGCCTACCCGGTGGCGAGGTCGGCGTCCCTTTAATGGAAGCGATTAGTAAGCGAAATTTTCGGTGTTAAAAATAGCAAAAGCAAGGTTAGAAACTTACATTGCAGTCCTCCATCTTTTTACGCATCTTTTCGAACTCCTCCTCGTCTTCTGGGGGGATTGGGATGTTGTAGAATTCGCCTTCTTCCTGAAAAAATATAACTAGGTGAATTTAACAAGCCTTAGAGCATTTTTCGTATTTTAATCAGGGTTTTTTCATTTTAATCTAATTTTTGCTATAATTTTGGCCGTTTGAGATACTTTCTGATGCCGAGATATAAAACTGTTGAGCCTAGTTTTAAAAGCATTTAATAGACAATTTAAAGATACGGAAATTCTATACAAAAACTGCAGTTCAACTCCAAATTTAAATTGTTCCGCGCAATTCCGTTAATGTTTTGAACTTTTTATCGTGTTTTTTGGAGGAACTTTGACCGTGTCTAACAACATTCGGTTAAATTTTATGTGGAATACCTCACCTCGTTCAACAGCTTGAACCACCCGGCCACGCCCTCCTTGATCAACTCCGAGATCCCGAAGGACATCGAGCCCATGAAGTCGTTGCGCGACGTCCGGTCCCAGTCCCAAACTTCGATTGAAAGCCGGCGATCCCGGTCGGTGGGGAGAAGTTTGCTGAAAATCGCTTTTTTGATGTCCAAAAAGTTGAATCGGATTATCCGAAAGGTATACTAAATAATCTATCGTTATGTGTGCGTAATATTCTGTAAACGTACTAGCTAAACTTCTCATCCCAAGTCGGGTTGAGTGTCGCTCTCAGCGTTTTTGTCTTTTGCTTCGATTTGCATCCGGCGTCTTCTGGAATCAGCTTCAACTTGACGTACGGGTCGGAGAGGCCGTTAGGGTCCATTGGGATGAGGTTACGGGCTTCTTTCACTAAAAAAACCGGTTTGGTATCCTACTCTGTCGCTCTCCTCTCGCTCTCTCTCTGTCACTCTCTCTCCCTTTCTCGCTCTCTCCACTTACCATGAATCCTCAGCTCTCCTCCCTCGACTCGTATATCAACCAGCATCCTCCCTCTCTTCTCCGTATTGTCCGTTCCGCATAAATTTGGCACATTTTTCACGCATCTGTGGTGGACGTTCGTGTCGCAGGACTGGCATTTCATTCCCTGAAAAAGGGCAGTTAGTAAGGTATCCATTAAAATATAGCTTTTCTAGGACTTAATAGCTAGATAGAAAATATTTCCCCATTCATATCGCATCCTAATTAAAGGCAATAGCAGCTAACCCAAAATTACCTGTCGTCTAAACGCGGCCACCCTCCAGGCGTACATAGCAAGCAGTTGGACAGGGTCAGGGAATGCCGGGATTACAGATTTCTGCGCGCGCACCGAGTTATGCGTCAATTCCCTGATTCATTTACGGGCTGTGAGCTTTTAGAATGGCGACCCGAACACGAACAGATTGCGCAAATCGCCCGTTTGGGTCAAAAGAAATGGTCGCGCTAATGGGAGTAACTCATTTTTCGGGGCCTATGCCATCATATAGCATTTTTAAAGATTTCCTTTGTGTTGCGATGACGCAGAAACTAATTTTTGTTATGCTTTTTTTTCCGGTTTAAATGGGTGGCAACAGCTGGCATGAGATTTTTTGCGGGCTTGCAGCAATCCTAGCGAGCGAGGAACTAGTTTTCCTAATAGCAGTTGCTATGATTATTCGCTTTAGTCAAAAGTTTTATTTATTCTGATTTTTTCTGCTCCACGGTATTGGTCGCTTTTTAAAGGGACCCGGAGAGCTGACGATTAATTGCTTACCTGGTGTATCAACCCGTAAAGCAGCGAACCGCAGTGGTCGCAAAAGGTGGGCGAAGAGTAGGTCTGTACTTTCCATTTGTGTTGCTGTCGAGGGTCCTGAACAATTATGTTAGTTTTATCTTCCGCAATTTTTTTCACTCTATATTGATCCTGCACTTGGATTTTTTCCATCCGCCCTTTCGAGTTTTCCGGTAAAAACGGTTCGTTGGGGTGAATTGACGAGGGCGTCACTTTTATGGCTACCAATAAAATTAGTGCCCCCATGGACCACTGGTTCGGGGAGTTTAGCTACCCGTAAATGCGTGGGTTTACGGTCAGCGTGACTTGATGAAGCCAGAGAACTGGGAAAAACGCCCGGAAATGACAATTCCGGCTGTGTTTAGATGGCCTCAGTAGCTTTTTGAGCACCTTGGAAGCTTTAAGTCCTATTCCTAGAGTTTTTGAGGGTGGCGGAAGGTTTATCCGGGCTCTAAGATCCAGATTCCAAGCAAGCCTTAAAAGCGGTGACAACCTGTCACCAAAAACTCACGTCCGTATCGGCTCCCTTGTCAGCGCCCGGGCACGCAAAATTGACGAACTCGTGGCAGCGCTTGTGGACGACGAGGGTGCAGACTAAAAAAAATGGATAATATGACTACGGTAGGTGTGGGAGAGAAAGAGTGAGAGAGAGAGACAACGAGGGCGTGAGAGCGAAAGAGAGTGAGACAAAGCAACCTTGGGTGAGAGACATAGAGAGTGGACATCTGCGCGAGAGAGTTTTTGGAGAGAAAGAGAGAGCGTCCGCGAGAGAGAGAGAGATAGCGAGATAGGGCTAAAAACGAAGAGATTTGCCATATTTCAGGTGTTTTCAAGGTGCCTTTCGATAGCGTACCGTATTACCCGATTTCCCTCCTTATGCTGATTTTTAAAACCGACGGATCTCCATGTCTTTTTCCTGGAACTTCCCCCTTGTTGGGCCCGTAGCTATTCCCTCCCCATCCCCACCTAACAACGGGTGGCCCATATTTGAGGAGAAGCCAAGAAACACACCTCCCCATAAAGCCAAAAGACAACGCAGCCCGCCGACTCCCGAGCAATTTTCCTGGCCCCCAAAAGTCCGACATCGCTGCCCTCCTTAGCCCTTCTCGACATATACGTCGCTAGGATTATGGCGGAATGGGGCAGATGATGTGGTATTGGGAGGAGAATTCTAGAAGTAGAAGGGCATGGTTACGAGGTATTAAAACGACTGGGAAAGAACTAGAGATTTTTTGACCGTTTTACAGGTCTCGAGAGGTTCACAGGCTGCTTTTAGGCGTACGAGCAACACCTGACTACGTTTTTTGAAGTTTTGGATGATTGCCGAAAGCAAAAAAAATGTTTTTAGTTTCCAGTTCCTTTAATCAAGGAAAGAGGAAATGGCTGTTATTTACTTAAATTTAGCTTCAAGACTGCTAAAAATGGCATGTTTTCATGAGAAGGTAGACTAGGATTAGAAAAAGTACGATTCTGACTTCGACTTGGCATAAAGGGCTTGCAAAAATTATTTCAATTTTTAAAATAATCAGATTGACTTAAAAAACGTTATTGCTATCGTTGGGGTTGGCTAATATGGCGGCGGACTAAAGGTTTACTGACCACAGGATCTCAGAAAATGAATAAAATGACGACGGCCACGTGGTGGGGTTTGAATTCCAAAAGTAAACGAGAGGAATCGGGGGTCATAACGCACTTTTAAAACTTTTAAGATAATTTTCAAAGCGGATAAGGGAAAATAACAATATTGATGGTAAAGAGAACGTCCGTGAGAGTATAACCAGAGGGAAAAGCATAAAAACCCACCCTGACACTGAAATCCTTGCTTGGTGATGCCCCACAAAAAATCCTTGCAGTGACTGCAGAACGTCGGCTGTTTGAAGAAGCGGGCGATGAATTTGTGCTGTCTGAAAATGAGAGATTTTTAGGAGCTTTGTGGTTAATTATCATGCTTGCTTTTTTTAGTTGTTTTGCTTCCGATTTCACAGGAGCTTTTCTTGTCCATGCTCGCTCGGGGGTTGATACAATTACTTTGAAACTGTTTTTCGCTTTTGTGCTCTCTACTCCCATCTTAAAGGGAGCGTGATAGGTAGAGAGTCTGAGTAACGCTGAATTTTGCAGGGAAAAACAAGATGCTATCGTCTCTTTAGTGCGCTATATCATCGCACGTTAAATATATATAAAAAAATAGTGTCTGTGTGTGTGTGTGCATTTGCATGCAACTTCCGTGAGGATGTTCCGCACCTACAGCCTCAGGGAAGCATTTTTTCGGTAGTGAAGAAACGTCTATAGGTAAAGAAGGGTCCGGAATCGACTGCACGCACATAAAATCTTTGAAAAATTGCTATTTTCGCTATTAAAAACAAATTTTTGTAAAATTCTCGCCCACCCTCTTTGTTAGGGATCAATTAGCATAAGCCGGAAGTCGGATAGCCTATATAAAGCGACCGAGGAGCCGTTTTTCACTTTTTTCCTGATAGATTTTGGGGAAGAAGCATGCAAATTGAAAACTTTCATCGGTCCTAGACGGGGCCAGGGTTGAAAAGCCGCGAAGCGGTTTTTCAACCCTGGTTGCACGTTAAATTAGGCTCGCGGTTGGCGAAAAACTAACCACCAAAAAGCTCAGATCTTGAAGTGTTTTCCATTCCCTCCCAGAACACACACCCAAAAACTTTCCACGCTTCCCGTTTCGCATCTCACCACCCCCGAAAAAAATTTCATCAAATCCTTTAGGGGGTTGTTGTGGGTCCTATCCGCTTCCCTTCAGAAGGGCCCGGGGCCCAGCTGGGTGTGGCCATAAACGCAGTGTGTGGCTAATGACCAAATTGGGGGATGCGCCCAAAACAAACGAATTTTGCGTCTAGCGCGAGTTTTCCGGTTTTCTGGCCTTTTGAGTGACCCTGCTGGTCAGGTGGACACTACATATAAGGAACGGATGGAGGGAAGAAAAAAAAGAGGGAGAGAGCAAGAGTGAGAGAGAGTGGGAGAGAGAGAAGCAAGCTACAAGAATAATACCCCAAAATCGCCTTGTCCAAGACCGGAACGTTGCCGGTGGCCACCCCTATTATTCACTGGCCCCCGAGAAAGCCAAGGCACCCAGGCCACTTCTGGGGCTTGAGGACCAAATTGACTTCCGAGATCAAACACCAGAGAAGAACGGGAATGAACAAAAACTATTCAAATAATATTTTCTATAACTTGGAGAAAGCGAGATAGAGAGAAAGGAAAAGAGACAGAAGAAAGAGAAATCAGTTATTAAAATTCAACTATGTAATCCTTGGATTTTGTCAAAATTCATGTTTCATTAAACCCACTTAATCTCGTGCACATTCTTCTGCCTCAGCGCTCCGCGACGCACGAATGCCTTGCCCTCGATGCGCTCGGCTGAAAATCGGGAGAATTGTTAAGGGGGCGGTTTTGGAGGAATTTGTCGAAAAAAATGTTTTTACCATACGCTATAATAATTTGCTTTATACCTTGGATATGCCCTTATATCTTTGCATTGCATGTAAACTCTTAATTTTTGAATTGATAGGGATTTTAGGCACATCAGAATTTTAATTTTGATTGAATTTTCTGAGTTTCTTTAATAGAATTTTTTACTTTCTCTATTTCGAATGTTTTCCCTTACTTTGCGTTAGTGAGATCAGACAGCACCCCGGAAACGCGCCGGCCCAACCGGACAGCCATCCGTGTGTCTCAAGAAATCTCATTTGGCAGGTCCCTCTCCTCAGCCCCCGGCCCACGACCACAGCCACAGCCACTCCTTATCAAATTCTACGCCCACCCCCAAATTCTTTTTGTTTTCCCGCCGCCCCGGCCTCGTCGACTCGACTTCTTTAGCCATGCCAACTGTCTCTCTCTCTCTCTCTCTCTCTCTCTCTCTCTCTCTCCTATAAGACCAAAAAAGGGCGCAAAGCCGATTCCGCTATGCGCTCAACTTTTTCGCCGCGCTGAAACAGTGACGCGCGCAAATTTGAGATCGATTTTGGGCCATTTATGCGGGGAATTGGAATTTATTTAAGGCCACGTGGTGGGTGATCTACGATTTAAACAATAGAATATTTAATCCGTTAGAAATATGTGCCGGAGCCCAAACCGAAGCCTAAGCTAAGCCGAAGTCGAGTCTAAACCTAACAAAGTCTGATAAGCTAGACTTGGAAAGTTGTAAGTCTAATAAGCTAAACCTAAGCCTGAGCCTAAGTATCAGACATTTACAAAAATCCAAATTTATATAAGGTATCCAGTCATAATTAAATTTTCACTGTTACTGCGATTAATAAAACGCAAGAATTTTGGATTTTTGTACCGTTTTCGTTTTGTTGAATTTTGCGCGACCGTCGAAAAGTTTTGCAGCAAAATTTTGCCCCAAAACACCCAATTAAAACATCCAAATTCGCCGCTACCTAACGCCCCGAAACGCTGATTCAGCGCCGGCAAAACAAAAATAATTTTTCGATTTTTGTTTCGGGGTGGCCGATGGCGGTGGGGGCTGTGGAAGTGTCATGAAATTCTGCCTTAGAAATAGGATTTTGAAATGCGGTGTTTTTGTTAATACTGTAAAGCTAAAAATATTACCCAAATGGCAAGACCGATCGTTTTGTTGTATTATAGAATTTCGATTTGGAAAATTGCATTTAGAAAAATTGATAATATCAACGTCATAAATTATTTTGAATTCAATTTTTAATAAAAGAAAGAAAATCATTAATTCTGGCTGCAAAATATCCTAATTCTCAGTTTTATAGTTTTCAGGAGATGCAAACATCCAGAAAACCTAAGGAAGATTCAAATCTTTCGGAAGCAGGAAAACCTAGGCAAATTGAAACTGTCAAAAAAACAATTTTTAAGATTTATATAAACTGTAGAAGATAACCGGAATTTTTAGCTAATTTCTCGAAAATCCATAAAAACGCACCCTGTTGCCCAAATAGCCAGACCAGCGGTTTCCAATGTTTCAACTTGGCCGTCCGGTGTTTTCTTTTTGCGTGCAATTTTGAGTTCGACGAGGTCCCATCGACCGTAGCCTGCCGCCTTAGCGAATCCGGGCGCTCAGAATTTCCGAAATCCGAGTTTTCCTGGTCATTCTCAGACCCAGCAAAACTGTGGGGCTCGGAGACGCTCGGCCGCGGCTCGAACTCCACGGCCGCGAGCCCGTTTTTGGTCATAAAATAGGGTTTCTGAGAGCGGAATTTTTAGCTTCAGGAGCAACAGATTGTGCCTCGGAATGTAGAGAAATTTCCAGGAATAATTAGCCAGGGGCCCCCAGAAAATTGGGGGTGGTTTTTGGGGGGAGCCGAACGGACTGCTGCTGCCCGAGCCTGGGCTCCGATTTTTCCGGCTGCCGGGCTGAAATCGGCAGGCCCCGCCCCCAATTGGACCGCTGTTTTTTGGGGGTAGCTGCTGGTGGTGGAATTCTTTTGAGGGTATCTGTTGTTTATGATTGTTTCTTGATAAAGAAAAGGTCCGGATAAGTTCCAGGATTACGTCAAAAGTATGGTCTCGGAGTTTCCTTATATCAGTTCTTTTGGGTCTTTTTGGGTTTATCTTTTGTTTTTCGTGTTATTTCTTGGTAAAGTAAATTTGCAGTTAAGTTCCAAAGCTAGTCTATAGTAAAGTCTCGTATCACTCACCTTAAACCTGTTTTTCAAGTGTCTTTACGATAGTTTTACGAGAATTCGTATTTTTAATTTTTAGGATTTTGCCTCTCTACTTTCTATTAGGATTCAGTATCAGAGTTATTTTAATGCTATGCTTACTTATATTTTTGCATCTTCAAGAGGTATTTCTTAATTTTTGAATTTGACATGAAGAGTTATTGCACTTTCTGCAAAACTACACGTTTTCTATGATTTCCTTGTTGCAAATTGGTTGTTTGTCGAACTTGATAAGATTATGTTGTCCACGTCGTATTGTGTGTTTTCACGAATGTTTGGCAAACGATCTAATCAGTGCTATATTTTTTTGCGAGGTTACGCATGCTTTCTTAGGTATATGTCATCTTCTGTTTTTCGGTTTTCCACTAGTTCAAGAGATATTTAATGTATTTTTGGATCTAGTATGATCATATTCTTGAAAAGATCTGCATTTTTAAGAATCGTTCCAAACGCCATCAACCTTTCCTTTCCAGCCGTCAAATCGCTGAAACAACCCGATAAATCTGCACCCATGTCGTGATCACCGAAAATTTCGTCTTTCCCCCCATCGATCCCCTTGCCGTTGATTGGATCGACAAGTACAAAACGCCAGCCAGTCAAAAAACGCACCCAAAACGGGATAAGATCTCAAGGACGAGGGCGAAAGCCGGTTGAACCTGCGTGCTTTGATGCACATTCGGGAAAAGGATCAGATGCCTTTTCGTTGAACCTTTGGGTATAGGGATTTGAAAGGTTGTGGTCACAGCTGGGTCAACTTTTCCGAGGCGACTGAGTGACTTTTAGACGGCGTGCTTTGGTTGCAAAATATAGGGCGCGGCGGAAAAGGGCGAAAATTTTCGCCTTTGCAAATTAAAAAAGCTCTGGAAAACCCCGACAAAACGTTAAATTTGTCGATTTTTGCAAAAGCTTGTGAACTTCTTGAACTTTACGAACCCGCTTGAATCTAGTTTGAATCGGATTTGGTTCTCTGCTAGAACATAATAAGTGAGGGGATTTTTCTGGTTCGTTTTTAATAGGTAGCGATTAGCTTTTTCAAGGTCCACACGAATAAACGATCTAGAAAGCGGCTTGAACTTATTCACCAAAGTCGCGCTATTTTTCTATTAACGAAAAATCGGCCTAAAATCGCAAAATTTAGGTTGATAGTCGGTTTTTCAGCTGTAAAGGTGTTCTGAAAAAAAACGTGGAAAATGTCTAGCTGGCATTTTGGTACCGTAACCCCCGACTCACCGAACGCCTCCGAGAACTTCCTCAATGCCAAATTCGCGTCGATAAACGGATCCGAGGAGGCGGTAAAGTCCAGAGAATTTCTTGGCGAGTGCCTTGGCGTAGAATTCAAGCTCGCAACCGGGAGACTGGGCCTCGGAGCGGCCAGCATCCCACGCGAGGCCCCGGAGAAGGACTGCCGACGTGGGCCCTCCATTCTACCGTATGCCTGATGCCTCCGGCAGGGCCAGTTTCAAGTTTGAGGCGAGGTTTTGGAAGTCTGTAATTTTTGAGGATGGGAAAAGCATCGAAGAAAAAGTGGAAGGATATCGGTTAAAGGCAAATGGAAGGGACACACCGCAAAAAAAGGAAATTTGCGGCAAAAAACGTCGTCAGAATCTAGACCATTTAAAAAAGCCTGAATTAGCATAAAAAAACGTCCAAGAAACGAGCAGAGAAAATTTGACATTTTACGTCGATCTATTTAACAATAGCAATTTTTAAACGATTTTTACGTAGCGAAACAACCTTAATTTGCGTAAAAATATCTGCGGCATGCTAAGAAAGACCATTTGGGAAAATTGGCGCATTAATGGAAATGAATACCCAAATTTCCTACGGACACGATCTCAAACCACACTTTTTTCGATTTTTCGCAACCTTTCACCCTAATTTGCATATTTTTCAGCTCAGTTTTTGCCAGACTGTAAGAACCTTAATTTATGCGATTTCGAAATATTCTCAGCGTCATTTTAAGCTAAAAATACGGCCCAATAAACCCGCATGACGAGCAGCCAGGGCATGAATCTTAATCTACCGCCCAAAATATGGCAGGGGAACGCCCGCATACGCCCCAAAAGTTTGGAAATCGGAAAAAGAGAGCGGGGCGGAAGCCGACTTTTTGGGACATCTGATAAGAAGCGCACTCCAAAATGCGGACTCATAACAGAGCTGGAAAAACGTTAGCGAGGGTGGAGGTGGAATGGAATAATTAGAAAAAGTATCGGCTGAAAATAGGATAGTACTTTACTTGCCTAATTACACAAGTTCCTTTTGTATTAAATTAGCATCAATTTATGATGTCATTGCGTTAAATTTGGCCTAGTTTGCCAGTCAGATTCCTTAAAGCAGTCCATCTGTACACGCCATGTAATTCTGCGTCCCTATGACCGCGACCCAACCGCTGCGCGACCAAAATCTTTGCTGTCACTGCCCCTTCAATGCTGGATGGTATCGCAATTTCGAGTATTTTAGGATGGTTTTAGGATCAAGGGGTTTCCGGTGTGTAAAATAATACAATATTACGAGTTACGTTTACATTCCTCTGACTGCGACGCAACCTCAGCCCTTCGAAATTTTTGCTGTCTCAGTACCTTTAATGCTCGATTATTTAGAATTTCCATGATTGTATTTGATTCGCTAATTCCCTGAATTCTCTACTCTAAACATTTCTTAAATCGCTCCCCTTCACCCCCCTACGCACCCTATTTTTAGCCGGCCATTTCGCCTGAAGTTCACAATTTCACACGCGATCATTGCTTCTGGAGCCCGATCTGGCGGGGTGGGACGTTTTTGGGAGGGGCGTAATAGGGAGCCAGAAGTTTGGGACGTCGTGATACTTCAGAATCGGGGCGACGGATCGGATGACCCAGCCGGCTGGCTTGAGCCTGTTCTTTTAGGGGCATCCCCGGATGAGAGAGGATAGGGATGTCCCAAATTAAAAAATGCTAACTCTTAAGATACGGCATTTTGCCCCTATATTTCTCTAGCTGAATTTTTTTATTCAGTTTCGCAACCGTATCGTACAATTATAATAATTATTCACAAATTTCCGTTGCGGTGTTGGCGATATAAAATTGCTAAAATTCCCAGACTTATTTGTGACTACTTTTCTAGATTCACACACTAATTGTTAGTTTCCCTACCGAACATTGACTTGAGTTGCCAAACGCATGGGAAATCAGGTGGAAAAAATCTAGAGCTTATAGTTGCCGAAAAACAATGGCCTGACTATCCATTAGAATGTAAAAATAAGGCGGGTAAATGCAGTAAAAATCGTACAAAAGTACTACAAGATTTTAGATTAGGATTGGTAGATTAAAGGGATGAACAAAACCTGGTTTTCTATGGATATAGCCACGGCGCGACACGAAGCGCTTCTGTAGAAGTTAATTTGGTCTCATGACGGTTTCTAATCCATTAAGGCAAAGCCATATCCCATTGAAAATGCATCGCCGGTCCTTTTAAGCCTTGAAGATTACTTACTTCACTACAATTCAAGTACAAACATGGCTTTTGGATGATCAGTTGGAGATTATTCCAGGTGCTAGGTGCAGGAATTGACCCGTCAAACGGCCAGATCAAGAAAAGTACGCATCAGGCCAAAAGGCGTACGAGGCTCTTAAGGGTATAAGTAACCTAAAACAATACCCGTGCCGAAGTGTACGCACACGCCAAATCTAAGCTAAGCCTAAGCTAAGCCGAAGCTAAGCCTAAACGAAGAAATGTCGAAAGAAGCAAAATTGAGGGCAATAAAAATAAAGTAAGAGTTATCCCGCTTCCTAACTGAAAATGCAAAAAGTCAAACTGCCGTTGGGGAATAGGTGGAATGCCCTCTGGGTGGTCCCGCCACAGCCGCCGAGGCCCCGCATAATGATGGGTGAGAGGAGATAGTGTGGGTAAATGAAACGACTCTCCCACAGCACTCCTTTTCAGTAATTTGGACGTTTCCTATGCCCTCCCTCCCCACGCCACACAAAAAAGGGAGCGGAACGAAGAGGTGGACGGGAGAGGCCAAATGGCAATTTATTCCGCACCTAGCCACACACACCACGGCCACACCCCCCAAAAACAGCTAGAGTAAGGAGGCGGAAGCTCAAGAGAATCAGTTAGTGGCTAAATATACGCATTAACTAGGGAATGGTTTCGGGCGGTCATCGGACCTAGATATGTGAGTATGTGCATCTTGTAGATCTCGACGAGGCGAATCGATTGATGTAACTTTTAGCTGCCAACGCCTTTAAATAAAAAAGTTACAACGAGTTAAATTTTTCTAGCATGGCTTCATAAGCCCTCCCGGCAACCCCGTCACCGTGGTCCAGTGGCCTAGTGGTGTGGTAGTCAGCGTTTGGGGAATCTAACGAGGGTTCGAACCCGTTCACGATTTTTATTTTTTGCTTTTTTGCCGGAAGCTTCCTCATTGCATTCTGAAGGCCGTGAATAACTTTTTGTACATTATTTATACACCAAGAAACGTTCCTAGCGATAATTTGGCGTGACAGCAAGAATCCAGTAGCCTGTTAGCGATAGGCTAAATTTCTCAAGCTATAAAGAGAGGGAAAATGCCTGTATGACAAAATTTTGGGCAGGACCGATAAATCATTGGGGGTAATAGTTAAGGTATCGCGATATCCGCACATCAAAGGGAAGGTGACAGTCCGAAAACCTAGTTTTTACACCTCTAGAGCATGTATCGACGCATTCAAGGGAGGGTACGATCAGATTATACCCGATTTGGCAAAAATTTTAGCCGTATGATACCATAAAACCTATCTTGAAGTGGAGTGACTCAAGAAAAGGGTTTGGAGTTTTTAATTGCAGTTCCAGGAGTCGCTACTTTAAAGGGAGCGTGACAGTGACATGGATTACGAAGTGAAATGCCGATGAATCTTTGGGATGGCGTTCACCCAGATTGGAGGAAATCTACCACCAGGCGAGTTTCGGTCTAATTAAAAAGGCACTTAGTTAGTTAAGCCGTTACGGCAGGATAAAACAGCAATCGGAAAAATCAGGTGACCAGTCAAACACGAGCTTGGTTACGATATGAAAAGCTGTCTATATTAAGGCAAAAGGGCCACAAAAACCCGACTGCGAGAATAGACAATGCGTTTGACGCTCGATGGATCATATA